CTGCCTGGCGGAGCTCTGATCAGATCGCAGGGCCTGGGTTAGCTCTGGGTGGCTCGCACTTGAGCAGCGAGCTAAGCTCCTTTTTATGACCAGCTCTTCTCTGCTACATCAGATGCTCTTAAACCTCTATATTCTACGTGGAATTCAATGTTGAAAGACTTCAGCTTTTGCCCAGATGAATTTTTCTTTAGGTTTTTCATGGTAGAAAGGAATTCATCTCCTGCTCCTTGTGTTTTTATACATTCAAATGTTCAATGGCATTTTTTAATAGAGCTCCACCTTTGGTTCTGATGTAATATAAGATTGTGTAGCTCCCACTCTAACCCTCCAAAATAAGTATTATAAGCTATCAAATCATGGTTTTTAGAAAATCCACAGAGAGCCGAGGAATTGAATTCTAAGAGGAAGTGCTAAGTTCGTAACAGCAAAGAAGGGCCCTGGCTGCTTCATATCCTACTGCAACTGCCTGAAGAGGAGGACAGCGCCTCAGGCGACCAGAAGGAGCCAAATGCTCATTCCCTGCCTGTGGGCTGCTGTGAAGACTGGAATGGAAAAGTGCCCCACTTGTGGGACAGGACTGCACCCGCTGGCCACAGGATTTACCAAGTGGAGGTGTGGGACACCAGAAGGCTGTTAAAGAAGGCCGAGAAGGGTCCTCCGGGAGGAAGCAGGCCTCTCTCAAGTGTCAGGCATTGTCAAGCATGGGGGCAGGGAGCAGAGCAGGGCAGGGGAGCTGCGAGGAAACCTAAGGTGATGCATCTGTACCCACAGAAGTTCAGGGGTGAGACAGAAGGATGGAGAAATGCCTTCTCTTCTCGGCACTGCAGCTCCGGATTGCTGGAGACTGAGAGCGGTGCAGAGCAGCTACAAAACAACTGCCCGAGGTCGGAGGGTGGCGGAGGGTTGGAAAAGTCTTCCCGGGTGCAGAAAAGGAGGGGCAAGATCTGTGAAACGCAGTAACTTCCTAATGGCCAAAAACAAAACAAAACACCTTGGCATCCTGACACATAGGGGAGACAGCTGTACTATTCCAAAATCGGACGAGTCTACTACTCAGACAAGAGAGGCCTTTAAAACCTCACCAGTGTTCAGATCTCACCAGAGTTACAGGAAAAGCTGTGCTCAGACAAGTTTCCCAATAGTATTTAGCCATTCTGGAGTAAATACAGATACTCAAAAAAGCACCCTTCTGTCTCTATTGCTCCTTCTCACAAAATCCCCAGAGTATGTTGGAAGACTAACAAATGCAGAGGAATCAATAACAATGTGACAGTCAAGGGAGAAAACACTCAATAGTAGGGGCTGGGGATTTAGCTCAGCAGCACAAGCACCTGCATTGAAAGCAGGCAGTCGTGAGTTCGATCCCTGGTACCGATAAAAACGAAAAAGACAAAAAAAAAAAAAAAAAAAAAAAAAAAAAGACTCAATAGAAACAGACCCAGAGTGGGCCTTGATTTCTGAACTCTCAGAGGCTTGAAAACATGACTAAGATGGAATGGCCTGAGGAAAAGGGTGCATAAATAAATGAGAGATTCCAGCAGAGACTTGGAAACCACAAAAAGAATGAATAAAAATGCTAGAGTTGAAAAATACAGGATTAGAATTACAGGCCTAGGTCTACAGACCATGGAACACAGCAAAGCACGGTAACTGTGAAGCTGAAAACAGGAAATAGGAAATGCTCAAATAATCACATAGTAAAACAATACAGGAGAGAGACTCTGAGATTTGCAAGACATCACCAAATACTCTTAACATAAGGGTAACTGAAATTCTACAAGGTGAGGTGAATCAGAACGGGGAAAAAGAAATATTTGAGGAGGTCGTGACTGAGAGCATTCCAAACTGATGAAAGATATTAATGCACAGACTCAAGAAACTCAGCAGACTCCATCAAAATAAATACTTCAAGAAAAGTACACCTTCAGGACATCATAACCAAACTGCTGAAAAGCTAAATATAAATACATCTTATAGAAAACCAGAGTAAAAAGATACATTATTTACAGGGTGCACAAGTATCATCTAATTTCTTACCAAAATAGTGTGAAATTTAAAATAAAAGAATATCTTTAAATGGCTTAAAGGAAAAAAAAAACCTCTCAATCTAGAGTTGTATACAATGGAAAGATTTAAAAAATAAAGACAATAAAAAGATGCTTTTAGAAAAGTAAAATCAGAATTTATTTTCACAGATTCTCATTATAATAAATAACAAGAGAAATGATCCTCGATCTGCAGGAAGGAACAGAGAAATATCTGGGGAAATAGAAAAGATAATTTTGGCTCAAGGATTTAGCTCAGTGGTAAATACACTGCCTGAGCTCAGAGCCTGCCTGGCAAGTACAAGGTCCTGAGTTTGATTCTTGGTACCAAATAAAATAAAATAAAAAACATTTAAAATATATCTTTTTAACTTACGTATATTTATCTGTAAAAAGATTATTGACTTCTTTTTTTTTTTTTTTTTTTTTTTTTGGTCTTTTTCCTTTTTATCAGTACCTGGGATCGAACTCACGACTGCCTGCTTGCAAGGCAGGCTTTTATGCCACTGAGCTAAATCCCCAGCCCCCGATTATTGACTTCTTAAAAATTGTAACAATGAAGTATGAAATTTATACAGTAGATTTTTAAAATAAATGTTTAAGAACTGAAGGTCTGAGAAAACCCCTTATTTGTAGCATCTTATTATTCCTGAGGTGTTAATAGTTCCATGATGGGTGATTTTAACCTGCCATCAGCTCTATAGCTGGCTCACAAATTTTCTGCAAACTCAACAATCACCTCTTACAGTTAGCAGAAGTTAGTTAGCTTCATCACAGCACTGGGCCTGTGGAATACACACATTTAAAAAGGTTGTAAGAATACAAAGGGTAAAAGGAGGTAGGAAATGGAATGATGCTTTTGTAAGGTTTTAAGATAATACCTTATCATTTGAAGTAGACAGTGACAAAAATGCACACCATAATCTCACTAAAATAACACAGAAGGAGAATTTAACTACTTACCAGCCCAAATACATAAATACAGGGCAACAAAAATAGTATTTTCATTAATTTTTATAAAATAATATGACAGGAAATATGAAAATGACAATTTTATCAAATTTACTCAATACAAGAATTGATTGGTTGAAATGACACCTGCCAGAGTGGCACCTTGGATAGTCAGTGTGCAAATAAATACACTGCCTGAGTGACATTAGGGGTGAGCTGATAAGTGGTTAAAATTAAAGCAAAAAGTAAGTAGAATGCTAAAAGCTGCACTGGAGGTACATACCTGTAATCACAGTACTCTGAGAGGCTGAGGCAGGAGGAGCAAAATTTTGAGGCCAGCCTAGACAACTTAGAGACTTTGTGAGAGCTTGTCACAAAGTAAAAATACAATACAATACAATACAATACAATACAATACAATACAATACAATTTAAAAGGACTGGGGATGTAGCTTACTGTGAAGGACTTGAATTAAATCCCAGTAATGAAAAACAAAAACAAAAAAAAACAATATATTCAGTTGGCACAAAAGAAGGCAAAGGAGAAGGGACAGAACAGAAAGAACAAAGAACAAATAAGATAAATAGAAAATAAAGAGTGAAACAAGACACTTAAATCCAACCAGGTAAATAATTACATTAAATGTAAATGGACTAAAGACTTCAATTAAAAATCAGAGAATGTTAGACTGGAATAAATAAGTAAAGCTCATTGGTACAGGTATACAAGAAACAAATACAGAAGCGTAAACAGTTTGATAATTGAAAAGAAAATGGGAAAAAATTATCTCATGAAAATATTAAGGCAAGCTAATATAACTCTATTAATATCAGCCATGATAGTATCTTGAGTGTTCTAACTTCCTGTTTGACAATTGAAACAAAGAGTGTTAGATGTGATTGTAAAAGTATGTGGAGGAAATATTGAAAATGATATTGTAAGTAGGATAAGGTAAGTATCTATCTATCTAGGGAAATTTCATGGAGAGTAATCAGAATTAAAATATTTGCTCTGGGAAACCTGTGAAGACAAGCTACAGACTGGAAGAACTATTTGCGAGCAATGTATCTGACAAAGGACTGTTGGGTGTCTAGAATACATGACAAAGTCTGAAAACAATGCCAAATAAGCCAATTAAAAAACAGGCAAAGGACATCAGGCGAGTTCACTCAAGAAGATATGCAGATGGAAAATGTGGGCATGAAAAGATGTTAAACATGGTTCGCCGTCAGGAAAATATAAATTAAAACCAGTGAGACCTCACATCCGCGTAAGAATGGCTGAACTAAGAACTATTGGTTGCTAGCAGCATGGACACGAGAAACTGGATGATTCACACACTGCTGATGGAAGGTGCACAGCGCAATCACTGGGAGAGAGTGTCAGTTTCTTTAAAATCTAAGCGTGTGGCGGTTACACGCTCCTCTGTACATTTGTCCAGGGGAAGGAAAAGGTTCTGGTGAGCCCCGCCTGCTGGTGCCTACGATGGGAAAGTCAGAAACGCAGTACCAAAGGCAGTCACCACTCTCCCCTCCAAGACTTGCTCTGCTAGGCCCTGTGCTAAGCATCTTCCGCACGCTACCTCATTTAACCTCCCCGACTATCCCCCATGACCGGTAGAGATTGGTGTTAAAATCATTCCCACTTTCATGATGAGCACACTGAGGCTCAGAGTTCCATTGGTTGCTCAAGGCCCCGCTGTTCGTGGCAGAGCCAGGATCTGAACTCGGTAATACTAATAAGCGCCTTAATCCCCGCATGATCCTTATCGCCCATTTCACAAGCGAGTAAACAGGGGCGAGGAAAGGTGAAGCCGGCAGCAGCCCGAGACGCCGAGCTGGAAACCGCGATGCTGAGCCCAAGGCGGTGCTCCCGGACTTGCGCCCAGCTTCCCGGCGCGGTCGGTCCCCGGAGGAGCCCGCCTGCCTCCCAGGCCCGGAGGAGTGGAGGAGGCGGGCCCGCGAGCGCAGTCCCCTCCCCGGCCCTCCCCGGGCTTTAAGCCAGCGCCGGCCGGGACCGGGCAGTCCCGGTGCCCCGCGCCGGCGATCGCGCGGATGGCGGCGCTTGCGGCGCTGGCCAAGAAGGTGTGGAGCGCGCGGCGCCTGCTGGTGCTGCTGCTGGCGCCGCTGGCCCTGCTGCCGGTGGTCTTCGCCCTGCCGCCCAAGGTAACGCCACTCCCGGCCCGCGCCTTCCTCCCGGCCGCGGGGTCCCCGCCCGCGAGCGTCCCCCTTTACCTGCCCTGGGAGCGCCAGGCCCTTCCTCCGGCTGCCTCGCTTTCCCCATCTTCCCACGTGCGGCGAGTGACTTTTTGAGCTCTGTGTACTTAGCGCCGTGTGGCACCTTTCTCTCCAGGGTCAGAGCGAGTCTGTAGGTCGTGTGACCTGAAACAAGTGACATTTGCTCAGATGCAAGAATGGGGAAACTGACAGCATCAGTCCACAGTGCGGGTGCAGCCCTTATTACTCAGCCAGTGCACGCAGCTGGCCCTCCTCCCCCTGCCAGGCGCTAGGGAAGCGAGGGTCTAATGTGCGCTTCCTCTGGGGGAGGCTGTGCCTCGCATGCGTCACCTTTTAAAATCCTTTCGATCTGTCACCATCCTCCAGAGGTGAAGACTAAGGCTCAGAGAGGAAAGCCACACGCTCAGTCACACGGCAAGGCACTGGGGAGGAGACTCTGGCCTGTCAGAATCCAGAGCGCTTGCCCTTTCCACATTCCAAAGCTAGCATCTCTAGAGATCAAAAGCCACAAGCTGACAGAGGGTTCAGGAGTCCGCGAAAATCAACATGGAGGTGGTGGCTGCAAGGAGATGGTGTTGGAGGTGCCCTGCATGCCTCACCCGGCCCGAGTGGGGCACAGTGGGAGGGCACCAGGCTTGGAAGATGTCTCTAACCCGAGAAGTTGCTTTGCCCACCTTGGTGAGACACTGCGTGCTCACAAAGGTAAAAGTGAGCAGAAAGCGCCCTTTACCACTGAGAGCAAGGGGAGCTTCCCGAGGATTTGACTTCCGTGGGGACCTAGGTGAGGAGGTGCTCACAGGGACACCAAGACGGCTGGGGTCAGACACAATGGTTTGTGCAGGGAGGAACTGTATAAGCTATCAGGCTTTCTTGATTTAGTAGAAAAAAGATGAACAGCGTAAGGATTAGGTCACCTTTTCAGTTGAGACCGGCCATAGCCTAGGTCATTTTTCAGAAAGCGGCCATCCCAGCTGGCCCGCAGACCAGGGTCTTTGAGCCAACCTCCTTTTCTCTCTGGGTCTCCCTTTCCTTTTCTTTAACGTGGGTGATCACCATCCTCTCTTCTGGGACAGATGAGAGGAGGTGTGGATTAAGGCTCCTTGCAGCACCTTGACAGAAAGGAGGTGAGTGGATGTGCCCAGGCAGGAGCATTGGGTTCAGGGAAGGAGACGTGCAGGGCACAGGGTCTCTGCCCATGGAGTTGACAGCTGCTCTCTGCTCTATGCTCTGGGAAGGTCCTGAGCTCGAGAGCAGGCTCCTCTGTGAGGGGGCTGGTGGCTCGAGCTGTCTGAGGGGTCCCCTGAAAAGGAGAGTAAGATTTCCAGTGGCAGACGTCAGTGCAGGGCTTGGGGTGGTCCTCTGTGCTCCAACCCGAGGTGCCCATGGGCAGGGCAGGAGTGCGGTAGCCCCTGTGGTGGCCGTCAGCTGATGAGCATGCATCCTCTTGGACACCAGCCTCTTCCTCTACCTCTGGTACCTCTGGCACCATGGTAGTGTGTCAGGTCCTGTCCCATTTAATGTTCCCTGCAATCTGGAAGGCAACCACTGTTTGGGCCCCTCATCGACAAGCTAGGAAATAGAAACGCAGTGAGAGTGGGTGACTTGCCCAAAGTCACACAGCTGCCCAAAGCTACAGTACAGAGTCTACTTCTTACTGCTGTGCTTTCCTTGATCACAGATCAGCCGGGACCACGCTTGTGCCCTGTAGCTCCTGGGTGGGGGGCTCTGTGTGGACCGTAGATGTGGCTGATAAGCATACCCTCCTCCTGGAGGCTGGTCCTGCTGCTGGGGCCGGGCAGGCTGAGCCTCCTTCCACATCTCTGTTGGCGTATCTCAAGCCCCCTGCCACATGCCGCATTCTTCATGGAATTGTCACTGTTATGTTCGGGCAACGTTAAGAGCTGACATACTTCGCGCCTAAGGAACGGTGTGAGCAGAATCACCTTCCGGGAGCTGCTCTGGCTTTTGCCAACGGCAGCAGCAAGGCCGCTCCTCTCTTGCCCCAGTGTGTGCTGTGCTGCCCACAGAGGCTGGTCGTTTATTTACTTTTAAAAAATTTTTATTTCAAAGAGGTTAAAACTAAACATAACAAAACAGAACAAAGTAGATCAGAAGAAAACAATGTAAGTGACACAGATTTCAAAGCAAGGTAATAGGCCGTCTACCACGGCTACCGTAATGTCTTATGTTTTCTTCCAAATAGTTGTCCATATCTCCACATACCATGAATTCATACAAAACAAAATAGTATTAAACTGATCAGAACAGAGTGAAGAAGGCATTACAGGCCTTCAAAACCAGATGATAGGAAAATCAATGGCTGCTGTAATATCTCTTGTTCTCTCAAAATAGCTGCCCATACCTTCATGTATGTTGAAATTAAACAATACAAAGCAGACTAAAATTACTCTGAACAAAGAATAATAGTATTGCTAGATTTCACAGCATGATGCTACGGGATCAGCACTGGATACTGTAGTATCTCTTTTTTTTCAAAGTAGCTGTTCATGTCATCATGCTTAATATAATCGATTCTCATAAACTGTTTAGGGGAAGTTGTACGCATGCATAAACCTCTACATGTATACCTATCCTTTCTGTGTTAGAGGGAGAAACAAACCAAAACAAAACAAATTCCTAGAAAAACACAAAAGTAACAACAGCAAACAGCCCAAAACAGTGACGACACAGACCTTCAAAGCAAGGTGGCAGGAGCGTAACTAGGGTTGTTATTTTACATAATGTTCTTCAAGAGTTCCTCAGAAGGCTGGTAGTTTAACTTTAAAAATGTTCTCTCTGCAAAAACACAGCTCCAAGATAAGTATCCACAGCGTGCGCCTGTCCCCAGTGCCATCTGGCCACTTCTGAGCTTCTAGGTCACTCAGACATTCTGAGCCTCCAATTCAGGCTGTGTTCTGCATATGGAATCCTAGACAGGTTTGGAAACCGCAGGTGATAGACCAGGAAAGAAGGTCAGAAAGGCCACATGCTGAATGGTGTTAAATCAGGGCGGTGCTCCTCACTGGGCCTGGTTTTCCAGTTTGGTGACATCTCTAGGCCAGAGACACCGCTTGTCTGACATCCTAGGAGTTACTGTGGCCGAGAGGAGAGCAGGTCTGCAGGAGGCTGCTGTAGAGAGCAGAGCAAGGCCTGGAGGAACAGCTCTTGCCTTCTGTCCTCTGGCCAAGTTGGAGAGAAGGAGGGAGCCGAAGCTTGGAATGCAGCAGCTGGAATCTCCGGTGCCACTGGGGACCACCCGAGGCCCAGGAAGACGGGCCTGCCCCCAAGTTTTCCAAGGGTGGAGATTTGGGGAATGGTCTTGGATAGTGTTGGAATCAGACAGGGCTGTTAAAACAAGCTTGCGAAGGAGCATGGCCCCGTGTGTTTGCAGGGAAGCCTGGCTCCTTTTCCTGCCTGGCATCCACCGGGAGCAGGTTAAAGTGTACTTGCTGTGACCGCAAGGGTCCTTTGAGGAGGAGGAATTTGGGGACATTCTAGCCCGAGCTGCTGTAGGGTGTTGTGTGGGTTGTACACTGAACAGGGGCCTTGAGGAGACAATCGAGGCTGAACCAACCTGCACCCCTATACACACTGTGCCCTGATGCCATCAGGAAAGACCCCTTCTCTTGCGTGCAAGTGTCATCTGTGTTCTTGCCAAGCTTGTTCTGGGGGGTCTTTTCGGGGGCCGGAGTACACCTGAAAGTTCAGCACCTCACTTTTCCACATTTGCTTAATTCCAGGAAAATGGTCATTTCATTCCCAACCTTAGGCTCTGGGATCGGAGCTGGATTCTCATCCTACAGACTTGCTCTGTGAACTTAACAGTCGCATTACTTCCCTGGGCCTCAGATTTTTCCTTTGCAGCATGACCATAGCATCGGCCGCCTTCCTGATTAGTATCTGGGTTTCATAAAATCTGATCACTTGTGCCAGTATCATAAATATTTCTTTTTAACTCAATGCTGAAGGTGCATTTAAGTGCTCCCATTTTGCAGGCCAAGAAACTGAGGCTCTGAGAAGTTAAATGATGGGAAGCACTTGGACCTGCAGTTGGGTCCTAGATTTGGGCCCTGGCTTTGAAGTGACAAAGAGGGGAGGAATCTCACCTTAGTCTTTTTGTCTGTGAAGTAGGGAGAACCTCTACCCACTGGATGGGGCTGTTCTGGGGATTCAGAGAAGGCACAGACACTGTCTTGATAGCAGCCACCCTCACCCATGCACCTGTGCTATTTTACCTGCCTTCCACAGCCTTAAGAAGTAGCAACAGAGTGTCTTCATTTTCACAGACAAGGAAAGTGAGGCACAGAGAAATTAAGTAATGTTCACATGGCTCCCAGTATTAAGACTATTCTTCTTCTTCTGACAAGGGTGTAAATGAGGCTGGCTGCCAACCCCAGCTCCTTGGTGTCCTCGTCACCACAGATGGTGGCTCAGTTCCCCAGCCTGTGTGCGTCACTGTGAGTGGGGAGCGGGTGTCACAGAGGGCAGATGACCGTGCGTTATCTTACGAGTCCAGCGCACTCCCAAGGGTCCTCACAGGAGGAGGCAGAGCAGCCCCAGGGAACCAGAGCCTGCAGCCGACCTCCAAACTAGGAAAGCACAAGTTCTGAGCCTCTTTTGGAGCTTCCCTGGAGATCAGCCTGGTGACACTTTGCCTTTAGCTTAGTAAAAACGCAGTGACTGTTCTCACCTCTGAAACTGTGTCACTAAAACCCTTGTGTTGTAAGAAATCCCTATATTTGGGATAATATGTTCCAGCAGCAGCAGTAGGAAATGAGCTGTGGCAGAACCATCTCCAGCCTGCAGTTTCCAGGAGGGGAGTGACCAGCAGCCTGGTCTCTGCCCTGAGCTCTGCGGTGCTAACTGCCCACAGATCACAGGTGTGTTCCAACCCGTGCGCCCTCTGTTCTCGGGATGCAGACTCCTAG